AAAGCAAGGTTACATGGGAAGCGCCTGTGATCTGCACTGCCAGGAGCCCGGGCATACCTTCCCTCAGGACCGGCCGACTGCACTTTCTCCAATTACTATTATCGTTTGAAATACAAAGGGGTGGCACCTGCAGAGGAAGTTGCAGAGGGTGGTTTCTTCCACGCCGCTGCCCGAGATGCTTTTAGCATCCCAAGTCCCCTGGCTGCAATCAGCCCCGGTCCCTGAGGCTCAGCAGCTGCCTCCCCGCTCCCAGTGCAATGGGGGTCCCGTAGCTGGGGACTCGGGGACCCATCACACAGCACGTATCCGCAGGGAGCCAGGGCTGGGGCGAGCACGAGGGTCTTGTTGACCAGGGTAAAAGGGAGCTGGCGTCCCACTGCCCCGCGCACGCAGGGTGGGCAGGGAGGAGCAAAGCGCAGGCAAGTCACCCTCCAGGAAAATAGTGTGTATTTGCTTTACAAAAACCCGCTTCTTGAAGGATTTTAATTAAAACAATATTGATTTTAACTGAAATCCAACCCAAAGCAATGTTTTTGTTCAGAAAAACCGGGGCAAATGACGCTTTGGAGGGTGTCTCTGCAGTGCTTTTGAGACTCCATTTAACAAGTGCCGCATAAAGGACCCCAGAGGGGACCGCTTTTTGCTCCCACAAAGATGCAAATGTCTTGGGTTGGAAAGATTCTCACATCGAATCAGGTACACCTGCCACCCAAATGCACATCAGCGAGCGCCTGCCAGCAGAAATTCGCGGCATGGGATCAGCCATGGAAAAGGAGGCGCAGCGATCGCCCCGCGCTGCCGCAAACGCCCAAGCCGGTGCGGGAACAGCACAAACTTCTCCAAACCCTGTCTGCGTCTCCCTCCCTGTCTGCCCTGCATGGAACCTCCCTCTTGCCAGGTGTAACCCATCAAATATTATTTTAGGCATTAATTTACTTTCGGTACCAAATGTGAAATTGGTTGCAAAGGAGAACAGTTTTGTCCACGAGCGTCTCTTTGGAGCTGCCCACAAGAGGCGTGCCAACTTCTCGCTGCCTGTTTTCAAGATCAAATGAAGGACCTGAGGGCTGAAATCCCGTAAAATAAATTCCCTCGCTCAGGTAAAAATCACTCTCTTGTTACATAAGGACCAAAGAGCAACCTAGTTCAATTTAGGGAGAAACAGGCTGTGCGCATGTGGGCTGCAACGTGGGCTGTAGGGATGCCAGGAGACCTCTCATCTGGATGGAAACCACCTGCCTTGCCCCAAAAGGCAGCAGCAATGTGTAGGCAGGGCGGGTTGCAGGGAACAGTGAGGGAGAGGAGCTCGCTTGAAAAGCTGGACGGCCCCTCTGCAGCCTTACTTGGTGAAGGAGCTGGAGAGGAGTCCGACGAAGGCGATGGCAGCTCCCGAGGCTGCTGTGGTCCTGCAGCCGATCCGGTCGGTGAAGATGCTGACGATGGGAGAGCAGAAAAAAATCATGCCCATGGCCAAGGAGCCAACCCATGCTAGGGGGAGAGAGAAGAAAGGTGACAGTCAGGGTGGGACATCAAACAGGTGCCAGAAGGACAACAACCAGGGACTGACTCCAGCTTTCAAGTTGGTCTCGGCAGAGAGGCAGCCCCATCACACCGTTAACTAACAGTGCAGCTCATAAATAACCACGTTATCATGGTTACCACCCGCGCTGCCCGCTGGCGTCGCGGCCAAGGTGCAACCTGCAGCGTCTCGCTGTTCACCCGTGTGATGGAGGCATGGCCAGGTTTTCCTTTTATTCCCCTCCGCTGGGTTCATATGTGTCCTAGGGAAGGCACCGAGCTTTCAACGCTTTTTTCTAACGGCTCTTGCTGTGTGGGTAATGACGCCTGTGCTGACGCCGCTTCCAGAGGGAACATCTCCATGGCCAAAAGCCCCCCAAGCTCCTCAGAGAAGCTCTGCTCCCTGGCTTTGGCTATGAAGAGTTTCATATCTTGAATTATAGCTCTGCATTTCCAGGTACCGCACTCATCCCTCACTGCTGCCCACTCCTCAGAGCCAGGACAGCCTCACCTCCCCTCGCCCCACATCCAGCAGGGATTTCTCCTTGCAGCTGAGCTGATGGGAGACACGCGGGTTGTGCCAGGTTGGATTACATCCCTTGCCCTACCGGGCCATGCCCAGGCGGGACCGTGATCTCACGTCTCCTTCCAACCCACCTCTGGAGAAAACCACTGTCTGTCTGTCTGTCTTTTTTCAGAAACTTTTATTATTTGCAGATTATTTCAGCCCATCGTCTTCTCCCTGCCCTCCACCTTCTCTCTGTAATAGTTTCTGTGACTATTTTGGGGAGGAAAGGCAGGCTTTCAAGAAAAGCAATGTGGTAAGGAAAAAAAACCTCAGTCTACCAGCTCTGAGGAGAAGCAGGAGGTCCCCTTGGCGGGGACGGATGGATGGACAAGGGGCCCCCAGCCCTGCCTGGCACCCAAGCGAGGGGACCTCCTGGAGCACCTCCCAGCTTCAGGCGCTGGCTCCGGGCTGCCGAGCGCGATCCGCCCCACACAGACCCCGGGACATGTGCTCCTTGCTTTTTTTATTCCTTTTTCGGGGTTGGTTTTTTTGCACCTAAACCGAGCGCTCTGCAAACCCTTTTAGCACAGCCCCGCACAATAACAACCCGTCCTTCAAGAGCCGTGAGATTTTCAGAAAATAGCCAGGTCCCTATTAAAAGCAAATCCCGGCTATATAACAGCCTCTCCAACCTCTGCCTTTCAAAAAGGACCACACAAAGAAGCCCTCGCTAGCCTGGGAAGAACTGACCCTTCCAAATTAATTATAAGTTCGCAAGGACCCAATTTACTCCAAAGTCTTCCTTAAGAAGTGCAGAGTGGAGCAATAAAAAGAAAAGCAAGGGCTGCGCGGGAACCTCGTGGGACTCACCGGGCTCTGGTCTTGACACCAGGCGAAATGCAAAAGGGCGAGGGAGAGGGAGAGGACCCCCCTCTCCGGCTGATTTTCTTGGTTATAAACACAAGGCACAGTGTAATGAAAGTCCTTCTAATAGGATTAGGTGGCACGGCTCCAGAGAGCCGTCCAAAACAACTCCAAGAGGGGGTGAGGGGTGGGAGCAAAGCCAAGATGGGAAAGGCTCGTTAAATTGGATAATATACTTCCAGAAATGTTCCTTCTACTCCAGCCAAGGCAGTAAAATGTTAGATGGCCCCGTCATGTTTGAAGTTTGTTATTTTTGGAAATTACTTTAAGAAACGCGGAAATAAAAGCATAAAGCAAAGTATTAAATTTAAAGGGCCAGATTCTGATCTTAATAACCCGGAGATTTACATGCAAATAAGCAATATCAGTCTCTGGCCCCAAAAATGCATACTCACCTGTGGAGATCAAAGCAAACCCGGGGCGAGAGGCTCAGCAACGGGCGCTTAAAAGCTCCTCCAGCTTTGGGTTTGTAAAAAGGAGATATCACTGAATTAAAATCGGTAAACACAAAAAAAAGAGTCCCGTGGCAAATTGCTCTACCTTAGAGAGAAAGGGCTTACCACAAGCAATGAATAAAAATAGACTTGGGGAAGAACATCAAGTTAAAATTAGTAAGAACAATAGCCTCACTTCCAGAGCAGGGTTTTGTCTTCCCAGCGCTTCCCAGCGAAGCCCCGGGAAGCCGGGAGGGCTGGGCGAGCTCCAGCGCTGGAAGGAAACCTCGGCAAAATCTGAGGGCAGGAGAAAGCCACCTCGGCCCCGGCTCCGGTCCCGGTGCGATTCACACCGAAACAGCCCCCGGAGAATGGGTTCCACAATTTACCCTCCCTGTTTTAGCCCCAGCACGACGGCGGTGATCTCCTTTCACCTGGGTCAGGGCAAGGCTGGAGGAAAGCCATGGCAGAAAACCACGGGTTGGGAAAAAATCGGGGTTCAGGTGAAGTGGAGCCCCAAACCTGCCCTCCAGACACAGAGCCGGAGTCCCTGGCTCCGCTCCAGAGGATGAAGGGTTTATTTTTGGCAATCTGAGTAACGCCGTATTGAAGTTTCTCCTGGACTTTCCTGGACGTGAAGGGCAGAGACAGCCATTCCTCCAGTGGAAACCAGATGGGGCTTAACCAGCCTGAGTCAGGGCTTCCCTTCGGCAGCTCCTCAGATGCTGGAGAAGTTACGACTTGATTTAAAGCCCACAGGAAAAAAAAAAAAAGGGGGAATCTTTGCTTCTGATTTCCACAGGGTTTGGATGAGATGGTTAATTCCTAGCCCAGCCACACCTCGCAACCCTCTGTGGCTGATAATCTGGGCGAGATATTGAAAAACACAAAGACAAGCCCCCACAAGAGGCACGAAGCCTTATCAGCCACGTGGTGCGATCAAGCAGATCCTAAAAGAAATGATGGACTGAATCCAGCTGAGGACAGGGCTGGAAGGAGCTCAAAAGCTGTGCAGAATTTGGACAGGAGTTGGGTTAAGACTTGATCAAGTCTCGATAAATCCAACCACCTCCTGGAAGTGCCAGCTGAAGGGGCTGGGTTTGGAGCTGCCATGGTGCAACCCGGCTGGCGATGGCTGAGAAAGGGATGCCTTTACAGAAACACCAAAATCTTCAGAAAGCACTTTTTTAGTTAAAAAAAGACATTTAAAGCACCCTCCTTTTGCGAGGGGGAGTGAAGATGACTTCTGATTTGGGGGCTGGCAATATTCTAATATTCTCATAGAGGTGGCTCAATGCGTGCTGTCCCTCCCCATAGCCACCTCTCCGCTGACCCTGCTTGGCACTGCAAGTTATGCCAAGACCATGTCCCTGCCACCCTGCTCCCACCCGCAGCCCCTCCTGAAGGCAACAACACAGCAGCTGGGCAGCCATGACCCCCCGGGTGCAGGCATCCCATTCCTCGGTGCTTGCTCTGGCAGAGATGGCAGCAGGCTGGGGGACGGCAGCAGCCCGAGCTGCCACCCAAGCCCAGGCCACCTGCAGCCCCAGATTCCTCCAGAGCTGATGGGACCTTCCTGGTGGTCCTGAGAATGCTCTGGGGTACGGGAAGAGCCCAGCATGGGGCTGGTGCCCCTTGGCTGGAGCAGAAAGGTTGACCAAGGAGAGCATCCCACCAGCAGCTCTCTCACAGCGTGATTGCACAGGGGGTAAAGCTCCAGCTAAAGCTCCCCAAATTGCTCCTTCCCACCTTGACTTAACAAAGACAGCCAAACTGTTGGCTCGTGGCAGGTCCAAAGTAACATGGCCTTCAAGACGGACAAGAGAAGACAGTGGCTGAAAATCTCCAAGGGGAACAGTGATGCAGTGGTGTAGGAGATTTTTACACTGAGGGTGGTGAAGCACTGGCACAGGTCGCCCAGAGAGGCAGTGGAGGCCCCATCCCTAGAAACATTCCAGGTCAGGTTGGATGGGGCTCTGAGCAACCTGATCAGGTTAAAGCTGTCCCTGCTCGCTGCAGGGGGCTTGGGCTGGATGGCCTCTAAAGGTCCCTTCCAACCCAAAGTAGTCTATGATTCTACGTGGGTAACACGGCCAAGTTGAGCTGTTCTCCCCAGCACTGCTCACTCTGGGCTTGAGATGGAGTAAAAACCGGGGAGGTGACCCATTTGCCCACCAGCCGTGCACCATCAAGCTGTGCCCATGATGGAGGAGCTCTGGGACCCAGTGTGCCTCGGCCACCACGTCCTCCTGGCAGTGGGTGACACCAGATCAGCTTTCTTTCCAGCGAGACCACCCCAAAAGGATGAAAAGCTCCTTCCTTGCCGGTATTTTCCTGAGCAGAAAATGGTTTCTGAGCGCCGCAGAGCAGAGCAAGGCGGGCGCAGAAGGTGAGAAACAACAGGGGAAAACTTCAGTGCTCTGAGACGCAGATCCAAACCCCCCCGGCCCTGCTATTGAGCTCATTGTTCCAAAACATCATTAAAAAATCATACTGTATAGCACTTGCGGCTGAGCCTATTTGTTCTTTTAAAAATGAATCTTCGGGGAGAGAGAAGGAAGGGACGTCGCTCTCAGACGTGCTTCCCCGCTGACCCAAATACCCTGGGCTGGAGGGATCAAGGACCAGGAGGTGACCTCAGATCCGCTGCTGGAGGAAGTGTCTTCCCTCGCTTCCCGCGGCTTCTCCCGCTCGCGCTGCGCGGCCGGGACAGGGCAGGCGCCGGAGGGGATGGGGACGTGCTGCGGAGGGTCACTTTCCCCCGGCACTTAGCATTGCTCGGAGGAGAGATGGGGCAGCCAAAGGTGATTTGCCTCCATCTGCCCGTCTGTACCACTCCTCCAAGAAATAAGTAATTTCTTGACTTGTCCTTTCTGGGGACAAGGAAGCTCTGCTGGCACGACAAACCTCATCGCACATCTTCAAAGCCCTTCCCAGCCCTACCTGGCTCCCTTTTCGAGTGGCCTGGGAGCCCAAGCAACCTGGTGGCCCTGCCCACACAGACACTGTGGGAAAGCGGATGGCTGTAACCCCTCCTCCGCGGAGCTAATGCATGCTGCCTGGAGCACATCTGCAGTGAAAATGAAGCAGCTGTTTTATCTTGT